CATAAAGAGGTCTCTTTCAAAGTCCTTCAATTTAATCTTCAATAGTATTTCATCAATGTCAATTTGTTTGATATGCTGTAAAAAATGTATATGTGGGAGCACTCTAACACTGTCTTTGGTCTTGGGTATATATACTAGTTCACTGGGGTCAGTGTATACTAGTACATGATTATTTATTTTACATGTACCCTTGCCTTTTCTCTTAGTTTCAAAGATACAACAGATGTTGATATTTTTTTCTTCCAATTCTATTATTATTTCTTATTCTCCCAAGATTTAACGTTTCAAGTCGTAATATCTCCTTTTTCTTCCATCAATTTGTCCTTTTTCGTTGCTGTGTCATCAACTTGTTTTGTCCAAATCCGAGGCTAAGTGTGGTTCTATGAGCAGTGCTGGGCTTTTATTGTGGGTAGAATGCTAGTCTGGCCCACAAACCCTGCTCCTGTGACCAGACTTGGGATCGGCAAGTGCTCAGCTTGGCTACTCGATCCACCAAGCATCAGCCCCAGGTGGAGTTATTCTGTAATATCTATATTTACATTGAAATCAAGCCAAATTTCTTTTGCTGCCTTACACAATCTATTGAGGTAAATTTGCTGTTTTATTTATTAATAAACTGACTTCAGTCAAATACAGAAATGTAAGGGAAAATATTAATAACCATGTTTACTTGTATGAAATATAGATTAAATTATAACTTAATTGAAAAGATATATCACTACAGCAAAATAAACAAGATTAATATTTAGAGTAGCAAAAACACAATTTTATAAAAGAATATGTAAATACAGTATATTTAAAAATCTTGGTGAACTCATTGAGATTCAGGTCTACTATGTCGGTTTTATAATGGTTGATACGTTTCTTTTTTTCTTCTTTTTTTATATTTAAAGATTAGAATATAATACCCGAATATGCACATAAAAAATAAAATAATACACACCTGAATAGAAAATAAACATTCAAACAAAAATTAGAATACAGATTTAACTAAAGACTAGCAATTTTTCTTTTGCTTCTAAACAAATTTTGAGGTAATTGGTTCCCATATATTGAAATGGTTATAGTTTGCTAACGCATTGTGGATTGTTAAGAGTATAGATAGAAGTATTTAAAGGTAGCAAAAATGTATCTTTTCTTCTTGTTGCTGTGGGAATTCAAAACCTCTATTGCCCCCAATAAAAGTGGGCAATTAATTTTGCTATTAAGTAATTTGTGCAGATAAATTACATCATATTCCCTCAAAAAGGAGACTGAAGAGGTGTTTAAGGAAATTGATATTGCGCAATTCTCATGATCAATAAATGGATTAGGTAAATAAAGGCAAGTTCGCTGCAATTTTTTTAAAAAAAACTTATGGTGGACTGTTTCTAATACGTGGGTGTAAACATGAGAAAATGAGGATCAAACTACTGATGAATACATAAGAATGTGTTTAACTAACATGTATAAAGTTTTGAATGTGTGAATATTATTGAACTTGTTACACGTTTTCCTAATAAACCCAGTAGTTGTTGGCCTTGTTAATTGTATAATCAATGTGATGTGCACAGGATATCTAGGTATCAAAAACCTTACTGTTACTATTTCTTTCGAAGTTGAGTTGACGCGGCGGCGAAGGTGAAACAGTAGCGTTCTGGACTGTTGTACCCAAGTTGGTAGATTCAAACCCGATTGAAACCGTAGATTTTTGAGGGTGAAAAAATCCTTTGTATGCCTTCCTTCGGAGGGGAAGTAAAGCCAGCTGTCCCATGTTAGTAGATTTACTTGCATATCAAAGATCCTCAAGCCTAAACAACGCCTCTGAGCTAAATTCAAATTACCAGTTTCTCGCCCAAGAAATACCTCCTTTCTCTGCTAGTCGGTGAAAGGAGCGTAGCGAAATTTGCGTGGTCAGACGGAAGAGTGGGCCTAATGGCCCGAGTCTTGCCATGTAAAATAAGGCATTAATTCAATTCAATTTAATTAATTGAGTACTCTAGTAAGAAGGGAGGTTTAATGCGCAACAAAGTGAATTTACATTTTTTGCTAGGGTTAAAAATGCGATCATTGCCTTATCACCATGTAACTAAACAATTGAGAGAAAGTTGTATTGAAAGTAAATCATCACATCTGCATAAAGTAAGAATTAAATGTCTTTGAAACCCTATACTGGATCATTTATGCAAAGCATTGGACACAGCTGGGAACCTTGAACCACTCCAGATAAACCTTCTGTGATAGTATTCCCATTTTTCACAAATTGAGTTCTCTTAGTAAGGTAATTAGAGAAACGTTTTAATAAAGGACTGGCTTTCAATTCCAATTTTTGCAAAAGTCAAGAATGATTTACAGTCTTACTAAAATCTCTTTGAAGGCATGCAACCTGACATTTATTTTCTATGCTATTTAGGATATATTGAGTGTAATAAATCACATTGAATTCAATATTCCTTTTACTCATGAATCCAAATTGCCTTGTGAGATGAGAAATTTTAGGTTTCAGTTTATCCCTAATTATGAATTCAAACAGTTTCCGTATTGCACTTAAAATTGAGATAAACCGATAGAGATGTGGTTTTTACTACCTGATTTGAAAATAGGCAATATGAAGGAGGATTTCCATTCCATGGGGAATGTTTCTTGGGTTAATGACCTATCGAAAATAAACTTTAAGATTTGAGAAAAAATTAAACTAATTTCATTAGAAAAATAGCTGGAATTCCATCTGTATCTTCACTGCTGTAAATATAAAGATTATTTATTTTTGTGAAAATGACTGAAATTGAGATGTCGACTGTAGTTATGTTAAATGGAGTTTGAGAATCTAAATGAACAGACAAATTGCTAATGGATGCCTATAAAAGGTGGAAAAGCTTTCAGCAAAGGCTGTAACAATCGACTTGATATCCTTGCATGATTTTGCATTCAAGTATATTGTATTCAGCAAGCCTTTGGTGTTCTTTTTTGAGTTAATGTACTTCCAGAAATTTCTAGGGTTTTAATGATATAAAGTTTGGTAGAGTAATGTTGTAATTTTCAAACTCTTTTGGCTAGGAGCTCACATTGATGCCTCAAATTAGACAAGAGGGAAAAGTATTAAGGTGAATTGTATTTATTTTTTATAGTATTTAAGAGCCTCTTTTGATGAAACATTGAGGTTTTGAGATATATATTACAACGAAAATACAAAGCCTCACTTGATCCAAAATGCTGATTTCCGAAAGTGTGAAATTTTCTGTTAACAACAACAACAACAACAACAACAACAACAGGCGTAACACCCACACGTACACATCCACCGAGTTAATAGAACATATTGTTCAAGATAGTCAAGATTTGATTGTAGTTATAACAACCTCGAAAATATTAATTACAGGTTCTTAGAACACATTTATATTGTTGTACTTGTGATCATAAGGTAATGCTAGTCCTGGGTTAAGATACTCTGTGCAGATTCCTCTAGGCAGGTAAACTTCCATGTCATTGAATTATAAGAATATCAGAAATTTGCGCTTACATTTCTCAAGAGCAATTACAAGATATTTGCCATCAGGTCACCATATTCAAGAGGTACACTAACTTTGAGCAGACTAATGCAAAGAACAATACTCTATTATTATATCATTTCATATATAAAGGTATGTCATATTAATTGATGGGTAATTTTAATTTCTAAATAGCTCAATAGACTTGTTAGTCAATACATTGCAAGAGCCAGCAGTGGCATGTGAAGAGGGTTTAAAGAGTACTATGGTAATTACAAAAAAATTGATCATTCTCCTTATATCTTTCCTATCCTATTTTGCTTTTGCAACCCTATAAAACTCTTCCCCTTGCGAGGAAACTGAAATTAATTATAAAGTAATTTTATCTACATCTCCATTTTGCCCTAACTCACTGCTAGGTGCATTGCAGGTTCAGTTCTTTCATTCTTTGCAAACAAAATTAAACTGGATCTGATTGTTGACAAAGATTGGTAAACAAATTTCTCTATTTTTTCCTGGTTTTCTAAACCTATTAAGCATCAACTTCTTCTCACCACAATGGTATTAATTCAAAGAAACCTGAAACTAGAAGGTGGCAAAAATAGAATTCTTGGTGGATATTGGAACAAAAAATTAACAGTTGTCCACAATTTTTCTGCAACAAATTTCACTTGCTTTCTCAAGTTTTCTAATACATTTATTTATTTTTTCCATCAGATACAGCCAATAAATACAAAAAAGATGTTTCAAACTTCACACGACGTTACTTTTGTTATCATTAATTATCATCATCATCAGAATTTTGTTCCTGAAGACCCCTTCCCATAAATGTCTTGATAATAGGAAGGACCACTCAAACCAATATCTCATTTCGAGTCATTAGAGACATGAGAACAATTTTTAACTATGTTAGTTTCTTCTACATTCTATGCAACCACCTTTTCATCTGTTAAAAGCTTACAAAACATGATGAAACTTATGTCTAAACAATTAAGCATAAATTGTATAAAAATATGTAGTGGAACTTAGCAGACGTTCTTCTCTTCATCTCTGTTCCTGAGGCAGTGAAGGAGTTGAAAGATCATGCAACCGACTAGGCAATTATTCCGGGGGGACTAATACCAATACTTCAACCTCTGGATGTGTGCATCAACAAACCATTCAAGGACAGGTTGAAGAAAATTTTCTCGAGACTGGCGCCCCAATAATACAAAGTGCTCACGCCAATGGGGTGTGTGAAACGGTCTAGTCTATCGCAAATGTGTGCTTGGATAGATGATGCCTGGAAGAGTATTCCTAGTAATGTATAGAAATGAGTGGTCTGAGTGTATTAAGCATCAAATGTATTTCTTACGTTTAAATAAGTAAACTTCTTATTTTTTGTTCATTATTTCTTGGGGTCTGCTTACAATCAGTGTCAGCTAATAATCAAATAAATACGGTATTATGCACTTCTTTACAATCCTTGCCTTTTTCAAGTTTTGATGCCATTGAAAATTCCATTTACCATTGCTCTAAAATTTCATTTTGCAGCACCTGAGCGTGGAAAAGGAAAAGGATGTGGTGATGGCAGTAGCAGTAGCAGTAGCACTGGCAATGGAAGAGGAAGGGGCAGAGGCAGAGGCAGGGGTAAAGGCAGGGGCAAGGCTGGCAACACTCAGAAAGGTATTGTTTTTGGTTTTTTATTTATTTTCTTGTTCTCACCTTTTGGGTACAAGACTTGGGATGACCAGAAAATGTGTGCATATGTTATATGTGACAAGCATGAACATATGCAATTTTAACATAAATTTCTGAATGATACATAATATATTTGATTTTGAGTTTTTAAAAGTTATTGATAGAAATTACAAGAGAAACGATAGAGCAATTGCTCCAATTAACCTTATGCTACATAATAATTCACATAAGCTATGAGAATTAGTGTAAGGATTAAAACGAGTCTGAAATATCATGTTTGTTAATAAAAAAAATAGAGATATTTTTCACTTCAGATTGAGTAACTTATATCAGTGTGAAGACAGAAATTTTCTACTTTTTGTTCTTGCAAACCAAGTGATCTGATGTTTCCTCTTCTTTCTTTCTTTTTGAATCCTTCAAGAAGACACGTCATAATAAACCGGAGGTAATTTGTAGTGTCTTTATTTGATATGTCTTGGCTAGGAAATTTTAATGCTTCAACGACCGAAGACGATTGGTCGCAATGTATGAGGAAGGTCACTAATAGATGAAGCAGAAGTGCAAATTTTGGGTTTATGAGGAGTAAATCATGAGACAGCAAGATGATCTTTCTGGTCATAACAATACGATTTATTTTTTTTAATTATTGCCTTTATTTATTTATTTATTTATTTATTTATTTATTTATTTTTTATTGCCTTTCTGTCATTGACGGTCTTCCGTCCAGGTCGTTTTTCAAGATTGTTACTATTATAATTTTTAATGTAAGCTTTCAATGCATGCGAAAATTCTTCAATAAATTTTGTGAATGGTTTATTTTGTAAGTAAAGGGATAAAGCATGGATTAATTATATAATGGTCACTCTTCTTACTCACTTACAGTCTACATTGGATTCTCACCATATGTGTGATCAAAAATTCAAATTTTCTGTCTTTAAATTAAGGTGGCTCATCAATGACTGAAGATTCTAAAAATTGAGCTCTAAACTGAGTACACTTCTACTACCTGGAGACATTATAAATATTATGTATATAAGAAACAGAAAAATTGGAAATTTCTGTGAAAATTTAAGGCAAATGACACATTTAATAGAATTACAGGATGGGTATACTTCTCTCATCCCCCCTCTACTACTCCCCATTGCCTTCTCTCATCCATCTCTGACTTGCGCGCCAGCCCTTTTTTCACTTGCTCGCCGGCCCCCTCTCACTTGCTCGCCGGCCCTCACTCACTGGCTTGCCGGACCCCTCGCTGGCTCGCACGCCCTCTCCCTCCCTCTCGCTCAGTGTTCAGAGAACAGTAATTCAAAAGAAATTAACTCTGGCAATCATTAGTATTTTGTAGGCAATCATTAGTATTTTTGCAAAGAATATAAAAAAAATTCAATTTGTGTTATTTACAGATCTCAGTTAGAGAGCTATTGTTGGTGTGTTTCTTAATGAAAAGTTAAACGTACTGTATGTATTTCATTCTTGATCAATCTCGGATGCAAATCAGTTCTTGGAATATCCCCCCCCCTTTATATATATATATATATATAAAATTTTTTTCCCCCTCCATTTACCAGTATATTGTTTTCACTTTTATGAGACTTAAGATTTTTACTTCTTTTGGTTGTCTAATGGTTTTAATATACTATTTAATACATTCAAAGTTGTGCCCTTTAATCAAGATCAAGCATATTTGTTTAAAGATTTAGTAAAAGATAACAATTCTGGGACAGATAATTCTGCTGACAAGTTCACTCTTGCTGTTTCTGTAAAAGTAACATTCTTATTTTGCAAGGAAACAGCATGAAATGTTTGACAAGTTCAGTATCAGAATGTGAGTGCAAGGCAACAGTATATTGTATAACATATTAACTTGGGCTGAAGGTACAACAAAAGAAAGCGACCACACCAGTTATTTCATAAAACTTATAATTTTAGAGTGTAATTTAAGAAAAAAATACTAGAATATAAAAATCAATTGATTTCAATACAAAGGTAAGAACTAGAGAATGAGGAGATATGCCAAGTTGCTAATATTTCAGTGATGATTGTCCCTTTTCAGTATTGTGTAATTTGCAAGTGACCCCAAATGTAAATGTAGTTGAATTTTTTTATCCCATGTTTACCACGAAACATCTGTGCAAAGAAATGAAGTTAGCAGGTCTGTCTTTAGATAAACCTGCTAATCCTGAATCAAAAATGCAATCCCTTCTGCACAAGAGAGAGAACAAAAAAGCTTACATACACAGAATGTCACGAAATTGTTTGTGCGGATAACAAAGAAATTACAAGGACGATTACCTATTACAAGGAAGTACAGTAATACATTTGTAGCTAAAATGTTATTGGAAAGTATTCACTATTATATCTCTTACATTTTTGGTTGTTGGTTAAAAATAAAGATGTATCTAGGGGAGAGCACAAGTTATATTATCTAGAACACCTCAGAATTGGTGAATAAAATCCATACAACATCCTGTATGAATACAAATTAAATTTACAATTGTCATGTAAAGATTAAATACGGATGTTAAAATCAAATATTATAGTGTTCTTCACAATGAATATTACGCTTAAATGTTTCACAACATGCATGTTTAATTATTCTAATGTACATAGATTCATCAGTTCAGCTATCTCATGGTAGATAGATTTAGATTTATTTAGTCACAAAATAGTGAAAATTGTATGTGATGTGTGGGGGAGAAGATCAACTGAGCATGTTTTCTTGAGTTCTGGATTCCTTTCCAATCATTTTAACAATAAATAGTTGAAAGATGAGTAAAAGTAAAAAATAAATAAAAATATAATATAAAATGCGTGTGATTAGCAATATTTGAAAAACTACACATTTTTGTTCCCATGTTATAGACAACTTATCTGCAACGGAAAACTAATTGCAGATATGATTTTTTTGCTTTGCTAACAAAATAGTAACTCCCCTCTACTGCACCACTACAAGCAAAAGGAGAGTTAAGCAAAACATGTGCATAGTGAAGCCATATTTATGTCCAGAAGCAAAACAAGGAGCCATCTCAGCATTTGCTCATTTTATCAGGGAAACTGGACAATGATTGAGATGGGGTCATTGACGTGGAAGCTGAAGTACATTATTTGTTACAAACATATTAAGTCTTTCTAAAAAAATTATACGATACTAATGTAAACTAAGTTAATATATATCACTGTTTTGTTAAAATAAACATTATTTTTCTTTTTGATCACTATAGTCTCTAATTGAATAGAAACAGTTATGCAGCAAAAAATATATTACTTTTAACTTAAATTAGTGTACTGACTTCAATTGTTTACTATCATCAGGCAAGGCGTTCTAAGTAACATACTTGTATTTTATGTGGATTTCTGGTAGTGAGCTGTTGATACAGATACTTGAAGAACATGATTTCTGTGTGTGTTGTTGTTATAGATATCAGTTTTGCATGAAAATGTGTTCCTGCCATTTAGTAAGTCAGTTTTGAAAAATATTACAGTTATGTAAATAAATACGCAAGGCAATGGTAAGATACCAAGCTCAATGAAGAGAGGCTTGCAGGGATCATGCGGATGGCATTTTAACATTATTCGAATAATTTTCTTTTCAATCTAAAGGCCAGGGATCATGCTGATGGCATTTTAACATTATTCGAATAATTTTCTTTTCAATCTAAAGGTCTTCAAAAAATTAGAATGTTTGCTCATCTTAATTTTTATTCACATTCACATTTTATATTCTAATCTTCCTAATTCGCTTAAATTCTGATTTTTAATATTCTGTAATAGATAATATTTTATTTGTAATTTGGCAATTATTTCTTGTAGCACTAAAGATGGCCGCAATGCGACCGAAAAAGCTTTCTGCAAAAATAAAAACATACCACAGAATTACACCTCAAATCTATTACTTTTTTTATACTTTTCACTGATGCTTTTGGTGTTTTAAATGCCATCCACCTTGATCAATATTTTTATATCATCACTTACATTTATCTTAGTGGCACACAAATTTCAGCCTGATGACTACGAATTTGTTTCACTTGTTATGCCATTATGAAATGCTGCTAATGTGAACAAAACTATGCTTTTGAATTCTTGATTTGCATTAAAGAAAATATTGTTTCCAATCTTTGAACTTGTGTAATCTGAACCAAGCAAGAACAAATCTTGCATCTAACGAGCTGTGCTCTGGAAAAGAGTTTGGAATCAAGGGTGTTCTGAGATTCCTCACGACCAAGAAAGTCACATCTATGAAATAAATCCAAGAATTGTGACTGATATTGCCTCACCATTTTCTTGTGGTAATATTTAACACTTCTTGGCCATTGAGCCAGAACTCATCATCATCATCAGGCAAAAAGCCTCATATCTTGCTTCAGCTAACTGAGAAAGACAAAGTGCAACAGTGTGTTGTCCAGCCTTGCAAATAACTTTCCAGCTTGATTAAAATTGAGTCAGGAGAAAAACTGATACTGACAGAAAAGGAAGTAAAAACGTCAAACAATGCAAAATATTTAAAAAATTCTGTTTGATGAAATAGATATAAAATGGTGAAATGAAATTCTTCTAAAACAATTCAATAAGCATGTTTAATGTTATGTTTTAAAACCAGAACAATGATTATTAGGCATTTTGTCAAACTTTTCAATCAGTTTTTTGGATGATAGGTTATTGTGGAGAGGGATCAACCTGTTATTTGGATTTTCAATAATAGCAGAACTACACACATTGAAGTTTTTTGTGTGAAAAACGGCACGTTTAAAACTGAGGAGCACCCAAACTTGAAAAATGTTTACGCTTTTGAATTTAACTGATGTTGAACTTTTAAATAGAAAAATAATTCTGAAAGACTTCAAAGTAAAATTTGAGATGTCATTTCATGTGTATTGTTAATTCCTTCATAAGATAATAATATTCTCTTCAGATAAATTACTTATGCTTTTGAAATTATAGTAAAATTGTGCTTGAATGTTTGTTAATATTATTCATATTTTAGATTT